CATGGACACATTCAATCATGTCCTGACCAATGATTACTACTCTTAAAATACAATAATTATTTTCAGGAGCCAGCTTGAATTAAATTTCTGTCAGCCTGGTACAAGCCTGGTGGGTGATGAAGGATGCGATGGATTTTTTGGGGTTGAATTTGGCCAGGGACATTTATCCTTTTAGATAGGTAGTTTGTTTTTAGTGATCATGGTGCTGTGTGTTTAACTAGACCATGAAGATTAGATTATCTCCAATGGCTCATTATATCGTTTATCTTTTTCTTCCATTCTTGAACTGGAAGATTTCCTGCTTCCTGGTGTGTAAATGAAATGGCTACAGATTTTAAAATATAATGTTCTAAAGTGGCCCTCCATGTAAAAATCTTTGCAGAAAAACATGTGAAGAAGCATGCATGGAAAATTAACCTCATGCTTAAAATGCTACTAGCCTGCCAAGAACTGCTACAGGCAAAAATGATAATCTTTAACATTAAAAAAAGAAGAAATTGAAATATTGCACAGCTATAATTCAAACTGTTTTAAAAATAAAATGTATATGCTATATCAAAAAGGAAATGTTGACTTTCATATTTATTTATGGACGTTCATAATTCTAGAGAGTTAGAATATTAGTTCTACATAACGCTCATGAATTCTCCATTTATTTCATGCAGCGGGAATTATCTACATAAGCAATAGGCTAACATCAACTATTTTTTATTCTACTTAGGAGGCACTACAAACCCTAGAGGTATGAACTGTTAATTCTACTAACAGTGAATAAGAAGTATATTTTTACATATGTCCTCCCCATTAATAGGAATGTCAGCAGATTTCATATTTCCAAATGTCAGCTCCTGACAGGTAGAACTTTCATTAACCCTTTGCTTAACAGCTTTAGCAAAGGACACATTTTTCTTGTGACGATAATGTTCTGGCTCTCTACTGCTTGTGTTATCTGAATGGATAATCCAGTATGTCAAAAGCATTGGACATCTCTAAAGTCAAACTGCTATAACACTTTAAAAGAAAAATATGATTTTAGTTATCATATACTGCTCTGTAATGTTTCCATAGGTTTAAAGAAATTCCAAAATTACTGAATGGTGGAAGGATGTTCTTTTGCTAAAATGCAAGTTGAACCTGGGGACCAATGAAGCCCTGCATGGAGCTCCTAAATGTGACCCACAATGATTTTACACACTAAATGGATAAAATAGTCCCCAGACAATATATGTTTTTCTAACAATCAATGTTAGAAAATAGAAGGATTTGGTACATCCTTTACTATGACACGTAGTAAAGGATATACAGATGGGCTATGGGATGGTTATTATACCCTTTATAAAGACATTAGAGGTGAGAAAAAGAACTGTGTGCTGCTAAAGTAACATGTGACCTTTCACCATTGGTTGCTATAAATGTAATATATGGACAGACCTAGCAATATATTAAATTCTAAGAAACATTCTGTGTTTCTGTGCTTCAGACTTCACTCACTTTTTATTAAAGAGCACGATTTTTTTAAGTTGCAGCAGTTTCAAGGAAGAAACTCATTAAAATTAAGATGAGTTTTAAAGCAACTGTTAACTTAAATGGTTTGTGGCTTACAGTATGAACTGCTAATGTTTAGCACCTGAGGTTGTGGGAAAGTGAAATAACCTTCACCCTTCAAAATGAATTTGCAAATATGGAAATCTGTATCAAACTATAACTAGTCTCTTCATGTAGTTTTTAAAAATATTTTTTCATAAGGAAATGGATATGATTCTATTTACACTTACTTAATTTAAACATTTTGTTGAATATGTTAAACTGTGACTTTGATTGGTGGAAAATACTAAAGCTAAATTGTTGTTAAAATTATATTCTATCAAAACAGTTACTAAATTAATAGCGCAGGCAGGAAACCCTATACAAACAAATGGTTGTCCAGTCTCTTCTTAAAAACCTCCAGTGTTGGAGCATTCACAACTTCTGGAGGGAAGTTGTTCCACTGATTAATTGTTCTAACTGGCAGGCAATTTCTTAGTTCTAGGTTCTCTCTTTGATTAGTTTCCATCCATTGCTTCTTGTCCTGCCTTTGTTGCTTTGGATAATAGCTTGATTCCTCTTCTTTATGGTAGACCCTTAGATATTGGAACACTGCTATCATGTCACCCCTCGTCCTTCTCTTCATTAAACTAGACATACCCAATTCCAGCAACTGTTCTTTATATGTTTTAACCTCCAGTCCCCTAATCATCTTTGTTGCTCTTCTCTGCTCTTTCTAGAGTGTCAACATCTTTTTTACATCATGGCGACCAAAATTAGATGCAGTATTCCAAGTGTGGTTTTACCAAACATTATAAAGTGGTATTAACACTTCACATGATCTTGATTCTATCCCTCTGTTAAGGCAGCCTAAAACTGTGTTGGCTTGTTTGGCAGCTGCAGCACACTGCTGGCTCATATTTAAGTGATTATCCACTAGAACTCCAAGATCTCTCTCGGTCACTACTATTGAGCCTATACTATATCTATGCATTTGGTTTTTCTTGCCTAAATGTAGAACTTTACTTTTTCACCCTTGAATTTCATTTTGTTAGATAGCACCCAATGTTCAAGTCTGTCAAAACCCTTCTGTATCTTAAGCCTACTTCTGGAGTGTTGGCTGTTCCTACCAGCTTGGTGTCATCTGCAAATTTGATGAGTTCCCCATCTATCCCCTTGTCCAAATCATTGATGAAGAAGTTGAAGAGTACTAGGTCTAAAACAAAGCCTTGGGGTACCCCACTGCGTACTTCCTTCCATGTAGATGCAGGTTCATTGAAGACTACATGTTGAGTGTGGTTGGTCAACCAATTACGAATCCATCTGGTGGTGATGCTGTTTAACCCACAATACTGTATACTAGAAGTGATATTATAGTAATATTCCAAGATTTAAGGAGATGCCACAAAAAAGAGAAGGTCAAACTATTCTCCAAAGCACCTGAAGGCAAAACAAGAAGCAATGGATGGAAACTTATCAAGGAGAGAACCAACCTAGAATTAAGGATAAACTTCTTGCCAGTTAGAACAATTAATCAGTGGAATGACTTGCCTCCAAAAGTTGTGAGTGCTCCAACACTGAGGTTTTTAAGAAGAGATTGGACAACCATTTTTCTGAAATGCTATAGGGCAGTGGCCCTATACAGCAGACCAGAGGGGGTGTTGTTTTGGTTCTTACTGCATCCCACAGATGGGGCTTCGCTTGTTTGCGCGGCCTGGTTTCTGCCATACTGTGGCCCTGTGCCAGTCCATGGACAGGGCATTGGGGTGCCCTGGTATAGGGTTTCCTGCTTTAGGGGGTTGAACTACATAGAATACCTCCAAGTCCTTTCCACCTCTGTTATTCTGTTCTGTTCTAATACAATTTCAAATTGTATTAGAATGTTAAAAGTTTTATGAGGCAAACGATCAAACAGAAAAGAATGTAACTATGAACTATGTATTCATTTTAGCGACAATTTATGGCTTTAAAACAAGTAATCAGCATTGTGAGTTCATCTATAAATATATTGGTAACCAGGTAATCATCTCCCTCCAAAGAGAAAGAGTATTCCTGATTGTGTACTGCTAAAACAGTCAAACACTTCTTAAAAGTAGCTCTGCAGAAATATAGCCAGAGTATTAAGAATAACTTTCACATCAGTTTTCTTAAAAAAGCCTTGTAATGGCTGAATCAGTAAGAGATGATAAAAGACTATCCTGGCAAATGAAAATACAAAAACAACCCTCTGTTTCCATAAACAATACCACATGATGGACTAATATATCCAGTCTTAGTTTGGCTACACAATCTAGTAGAATATAGAGTATAAAAAAGGCATGATAAACAACAATTTCACTCTTTTCTGAATGCCCTTCAGAGCCTTGACCCAAGATCACTGGCCTGGCAGATCAAATTTAAATTTTTTAGAATATAATGTGGGCAAAATTGCAAAACGATGAATGAGTCAAAAAACGCCAGTCTATCAGAAATCAAAGCGGAAAGATTATTTCTTATCACATTCTATAACTCTCCAGGATGCTCTTTATGGCCCTCAGCTTACCAGCTTCAGTTTTACTTTTTGGGGACAAGAGGGCCCATTTTCAGTGGTTGGATGTATCCACTATTTTTTTAAAGAATACTTTGGAACCTAAGTGGTAAGTGTAAATTATGCTGGTGTCTGGAATTTTGCTTCCTACTTACCAGTTTGTAAGCTACTGATTCATTTTTTTAATTTAAGAAAACCAGATTTTTTTTTCAAAGCCAAGTGAACCAAAGAGCCTAGTGGTTTCAACTAAGATGTTGGAAGAAGTCTGTGGATTCAATTTTAGTAGAAATAAATCAGGTAAAAACAACAGGGATCCTCCATCAAGGAAGTTCAAGACAGTTCTGACATTAAAACCAAAATTATTTTATTATGTCTTAGGAAAAAAAAAAGAATTCAGCAGCTGTGCCTTTAAACTACTCAAAAGTGACCTAGAAAAGATCATATTTTAAAGAATATATACAGTTTTAAAAATAGAAATGTTTCAAGTATGACAAAAGACTTACGTATTTTGCATTTTTGCCTGGGCCCAAAATTCCTGAATTATCTGTAATTCAGACTATTACTATACTACCTATGGATTATACACTTTTGTCACTGAAATCAAGATCTTAAGAACTTAAGACAGCTAAAAAGTGAAACTGTGGAAAAATTTGTGAACACAATTATATAATCCAACAGTTTAAAATAATTTAATTTGCCTTTTAACATATTGTGGTTTGCATTTTAATATATTGCAAGGTGCACTGCCTTGATGTCATATTTTGTAACGAGAAGGATAGAAATATTAAAATTAAACTACACTAATAAAAGTAGTCCTCATTAAATAAAATATTGTCATGCTAAGAATAAACAGGATATGAACATTTTTCAATTGCATTTCTTGGAGCATCAGGTATCTTAAGAGCAAGGGTTATATCTATAAAATGTAATTTTACAACTGGAAACTCACCGCAGTGCCATTGTTATCTCTAAAAACATCTTGATTAAAATAGTCAAAGAGTTTCTTTTCTAACTGTAGCATAACCTGGAGAAAAAAAATGAAGCAGAGCTTAAAAAACTAAAACACAACAAACAATACCCAATGACATTCTACATAATCATTATAAGTAAACCTTTACAATTTTATTTTTAAATTTTTATTACTTTTTCCATTAAATTAGATCCTTTTCTGACTTAAGAAAAAGAATTGTATAGAATCTTAAACAGGCTGCATATATTGCTTTAAAAGATTTGAGGTTATTTTTCACATCCTATTTCCTGTAAACAAGAGAAACATTGATGTTTAGAATACCAAGATTACTGTAAGAATTAATTGATTGACTGAATATTTCCCATTAAGTTAGTGTCAACTCTTAGTGACCACAGAGATAGATTTTCTCCATGATGATCTGTTTCTAACTGGTCTTTCAGGTCTTCCAACACTGTACTCATCTCCACTGTAACGAAATCTATCCATCTTGCTGCTTTTCTTCAATTTCCTTCTACATTTCCCAGCTCTTCTGCAGAGAGCTAGGTCTTCATCTAATATGCCTGGAGGACTATAATTTGAGTTTGATCATTGTGCTTCAAGTGATAAATCTGGGTTAATTTGTTCAATGATCCATTGGTTGTTTTCTTGGCTGTCCACTGAATTCTCAAGAGTTTTCTCCAGCTACTTTTCTAGAAGTCTGGAAAGGCTTTATGGATTTTTTTTGTTGAAAATAGATAAAAATGAACTGTTTATTTTAGAATGTATTGATTGAAAAGGTTTAGCTACGGGAACAATGAACCATGACCAGCAATATGGGAAGGTGGAGATAGTAATTTATATGTTTGTAACTGCTGCAAAAAAGATTGGAAATCACTTCTTTAGATACAATATTGTTATCCATCAACCAAATTTTTAAGAGTCTTTTTCAACATCAACATTCAAAAGCATAAATATTCTTCTTATCCTGCTTTTTCAAAGTCCAACATTTGCTTCCGTAGAGTGTCATAGGGAACACCACAGCTTACATTATACTTATTTGAAGATACAGACACCTTACAGTATCTAAATATCTTTTCCAGGGTCTTCATAGTTTCTGTATTAAGCGCTAACCTGCGGCCTATTTCCCGACTACTTCTTCCTTTAGTATTGATGATGGCAGAAGCTACCTGTGTCTTTCATGTCTTCATTGTCAGTTCTAAGGTTGGTTTTTGGCTATTGATGTTTCCTCTTCCAGTTTTAAAACCATATTCATCTTCTTCACAAGCCAGCTTCCTTTAACATATGTTCAATATATAAGCTGAATAAATAATGGAGAAGTTTGCAGCCTTCTTTTACTCTTTTGTCAACTGAAGCTGTTATGTGTCACTATGTTCTATCACTTTGTGACTGACATTTATAGGCCTTCCCTAAAAGAGGATTGCAAATATTTTTAAACACAAATTAAGAAAGCTGATTTGAAAAGTAGTCGTTGGATAGGTACAGGTCAATCTCATTCCTGCTGCACATATTTCATAAAACATGCAAATCTTAGGCATTGATCCAAGCTGTGCTGAAACCCAGCTCCCCAAATCACACTCTCTATATGGACAAAATTTTATGTATGGAGGGCAATCAAATATGTGAAAAATCTTCATCAGGAATTACAGCAGAGTACAGTCAAAGATTATTAGTTCAGAAAGACCTAGGACTTATGAGTGAAACTGTTTTAAAAAAGTGACTTTACTTTTAAGAAATCACATTTACTAATTAGAAAAAAAACTGCTGTGGGAGCACTGGCATAGGAGATTAATATGCATGTTATTTTAATTGCACAGCAATGAAATAGGAACACTCGTAGTTTGAACAAGTGACCGATTGTCTCTGAAAGACATCTATTTTGAGAAATTATGTTATTTCCCAAGTGGGATTCTCTCTCATTCTTTATTTTTAAAAAGTAAATAATTTTGCTTGCAGCATATTTCCTGCAACATACAGAAAGAAAATACCAAGTTGTGCTCTCACTGAGAATTGGCACACAAAGTTTTCTTCTTTGTTTGCTCTCGGTTTTAGGTAGCTTAAGGCACACCTTTGCTTTCCTCTCCAATATCTATGAACATTTTTCCTTTCTCATTGGCACATATCATTCTAGCTACCCAGAGGAACAGTTGCAAGAAATAGTGCAGACTTCTTTGAAGATTTACCACGGTACACTCAATAACGGGTAAGTGCAATTACAGTACAAGTGCAGATCTCACATAACCCATTGAGATCACAACTGAATGCACATTTCAGTAAGTTAATATTTTGAATTAAGTCACCCCCACTGAAGCAAAGAAAGATTTTGTTCTTGAAATTTTGAATGAGAGGGGTGGATTGCTTAGTTGTGTTTGTATTCGCTCCAGTGACAAGAATTGCATTTGGTTACATACCTTTCGGTCATTATCAGATTCACGGAATATTAGTTTGACTACTTCATTAGTGTCAGCAGCCCGGATAGTCTGCATTGTAGCCTTTGCACAAAGTGTCTGTTTAAAAAAAAAAAAAAAAGCAAGTGGGATAGGGGAGAAATAAATAAGTTTGTCAAAAAAATATGACAAAGATTATTTAAGAGGTTAAAAACTTTGGTCAAAAAATTAAAATATAAATATGTAAGCATATACTTTTAATTTTTCCTCAATTAGTAATATGAAGAATACCATTTTTTAGTCTACTTTGTTCTTCCTCAAAACCGGACAGCAGTTTGAAAATTTAAGCATTTGTTATTGTTGAGCCCCCTAATATGAATTCATTTACTTCTATTATTTTTTAAAAAAAATTAAATTAAAATGTTGTGAAGTTTGTATGAGGACTATTTTTTCTATTTTTCTACTTTTGTATTTTATTTGCTCCAATGGTTTGTGTTTCCAGAAAGAGAAACAGATCCGTAAGACAGAAGCTTGCTATCTCTTTTTTTACTACGAACAGAATCTTTAAGTGAGACCAGTATATTATGTCATGTGAATCCAATAGCAGGACCCTATTGGCACTGCTTTTCAACTTTTCTGCAGCTCCATGGAAAAACTCCTGATGCCCTGAAAGTTTAGACATTTTAAAATTATATAATGTTTTGAAGTTTATTGGACTCTTCTTGGATTTGGACGGTAGAGATGCTAAATATTTGTTAATTTGACTTAAGAAACACTTTGAAATAATGCTTAATAAACTTTGTTCTGATAAGGAGTAAATTGCTCTTTTTACTCCTTTTTTTCCTAATAATGCTAAGAGAAACTGCTTGATTCTTCAAATTATTTATCTCAGTGCTTCATCTTCTGCCTGGGTATGGTTCTCTAATTTCCCATTCATGTGTTCCTCGAGATACTAAAATTTGTCTCTGGGATTTTCTATGTATAATCCATTTAATTTTGATGATATCCTCAAAAACTTATTTCTATTTATATGACTAAAAGTGTGCCAGAGCTATGGAGTTTCTCACTTTGATAATACATCAAGATTCAGAGACAAAGAAAGATATTCACTTCTGTTATTATTTTTATTTTGCTTTACGGAGCACCAACAGGACAATCTGGCTAAAAGTCTTCTTTCTTTCAAAACTCCCTTCAGAATTTTTTTTTTTGGCCTAGAAACCATAACACTGTTAGAATAGCTACTGAGAGCACTGGAAGTTGTTCTAACTCCAAGTATTCCTTGCCCAGCAGAGAAGCAAGAGAAAAGTTGACACACTAAGACTTTCTTTCATTTAACCCACAACTAATCACTTTTTCCACTCATCTTCACAATTTGATTTGGGTCCCATTCTGTCTCTTTTGGTGAGTAATTAACATTTTGCCATCTGTGCCTGTATGCCATTAACTGTGAGGTCATCCACCAACAAGCCATTCCCAAAGTGCCTCTCCTTCAGATACCAACCATTGAAATTCAAAGCACAAATTAGCTAATCAGGTCAAGCCCCCCAAAATAGCCTTTTGGACTCATGTGTCACAAATCAGTCTGGTCGCCTTTAAACAGTGCACCAGATTAGAACAAGCAACCAAACAAACCAAAGCGGAAAACTCACCGCTCTCTAAAGCTGGTTTTCTAAAGCCCTAACAAATCGCTCCATCTTTCACTCATTTAAACCTTCCAAATGAGGGTCAATATGGTCCCCAAGCATCCAAATGCTAATGCGCTTAAGTGCGCTTAAGCAGCTTTCTGGAATGAATGGGCCGAAGAGCGGCTCGAAAGGACAAGGCAGAATTACTGTCACTGTCAAAAAGACATTGTAGCCACCCCTAGAGTGGCTGCAATTCAAGAAATTCATGATTTCTGTCTTTTAAAGGCATCTGCTTGGGAACATTCCCCCCTCTGCACTTTGCCCAAAGCCCCAGCAATCTGTTTCATAGCTCTTACAAGTTCAGGTCTGTTCCTAAGGAACCATAATCATAATAATATGGAAGTGTAAAAATCTGATATTCTCTTGACCACTAAAAAGAAGGCGCTACAATTGCATGGAGGCAACCATTTATCTTATTCACAAGCAAAAAGTGATTATGCAAAGGTTCATTTCTTATACAATCTGGAACATTCCTTCTCCCCAGCCTACCTCTTTTCAGTTTCTACAAAGTCGTAGTCACCCAAGCAGAAACTTGTGATTTTTTTTAAAGGAAAGCCTGCTTGCTATGAAGGGATTTTTGTTGTTGTTTTTGGTGGTGGTATTTAAGAATGGGAGAAAATTGAAATGCTATGAAAACACCCTGCCCTTTTCATTCTTACGCAAGTTACATTTATAAAGGATGCTTAAAATAATGAGACAAAATCAGAATAAAATTCTGGGGTTTTCTTGCTTCATTGAAGAAAATCGCCTTTCCTAATAATATGGGAAAATATATGGATGACCAAATAGAAAATTACAATCTGAAATAAGATACATTATTATATATTATTCTTATTCTTTATAACTAAAAACTGCTGAATGCAATAACCGACACACTTCATTTGTTAGGAACATACAGTTAGAAACACACAGTCAAAAGTGTGTTGCTGAAAAGTGCTTTGGTCTGGTCTTAAATATATCAAATATACGTTAGAAAAAAGAGAACACAGAAAAGAAATATAGGGAAATAAGACTTAAAATATCTCATCATTTAGTCGAATATGTTTAAATGATACAGGGAAACAGTATGTGAAATAGTTGTACTTGAGAGGTAGAAATGGAGAAGTGGCTGAAACACTGAACAAAACTATTTCTTTGAGGCAGTGGGAATAAGGCAGTGTCTCACTAATTTTAAAAAATAAAAATTATAACACAGCAATTATGTTTTATCCAAATTACACCATAGCATACATATTATTCAGATTAGTTTAAAGCGTTCATTTTTGATAAAGTCTACAGAAACGTAAGAGTTACCAAAGAACAAGCCATTTAATCCTATTTGAAGGGAAATAAAGAAATTGTTTTCCAAAATATTCACTAATACATCACCAGCATAAAAAAAACGTTTTCCCAAGAAAAGTGCATTTGAACCATTTAAGGGGAAAAAAATCCCCCACAATCCACCATGGCAATAAAATAGTACATATTCGAGACTATGAGATTATTAACCAGGAGATGATTCAAGAGCTATCCATATTGTATCCATTCTTGAAGCTGAACAGTTGTGAACATGAAAAGTGACTGAAAAAGACTCTTGGGAATATGGTAAACTGCTCTGAGATTTTGAAGGAAGAATTAGTTCTGTATAATGCACATCGATGGGCATTGCACTTCACAGAGTACAAGACTGATCCTTATCCAGAGCAGTATACAAATGCTAATTTTTCGTAAGGAAAATTCAAAGAAATGAAGGAAGCTAAAAACAAAAAAAATATGTACAGGACTGCTTTATTTGGGGGTTGCCTCTTTGGGTGTCCACCCAGGAAGCTTTTTTTTAGAAAAGAAATGGTTTGCGAAGCTGGACTGGTGGACTTATGGTAAAATAATACTTTTCAACTCTGGTGATCCTACCCTCAAGTTGAGGGAAGAGTTAGAATCAGAGGGCTATGTTTGTCATTGGTTTACAAATCAACAACTAAAAGAAAGATTCAAACTAGATAAAAATGAATTGGAAATCTTATTGTGTGGTAGTGCTGAACACATTATTGCTAAGGTTTATAAAATGCTATTGAAACTCAATTTGGAAAGTGAACATGGAAAACATTGTATGATTCAGTGGGCAAGGAACTTTGGATATGTGATGCTAAAACAATGGGAGAATATGTGGACAAAAAGCTTAAAAATTTACATTAAATTATAATTTAAAAGAATTTTTTTGTAAGATGATGTACCATTGGTATTTAATACCAGATAAGTTATTTAGAATGTTTAAAGGTATGTCAAATGAATGTTGGAAATGTAAGTGTAAAGAAAGGATATTTCTTTATCATTTATGGTGGACATGTGATAAAGCAAAGAAATATTGGAGTAGGATTCATATTCTAATACAGAAAATTCTTAAAGTAAAGATAAAGATGAAAGCAGAAACTTTTCTTTTGGGCTTAATTGAAAAAGACTTGGGGAAAAAATGTGGAACTTTGATCTTATATATGTCGATGGCAGCAAGATTATTGTATGCACAAAAATAGAAGGACATTTTGATTCCCATTATGGATGAATGGCTACAGAAACTGATGGAGTTGGCAGAGATGGCTAAATTGACTGTTTTGATTAAAGAAAAGAATATAAGTACTTTTGTTTCTACTTGGAGACCGCTTCTGGATTTTGTGCTTGAGGTGGAAAAAAATGAAACTTTGATTTTGAATTTTACTGATTAGATTGATTTTTTGTTACAGAAATGGCTAGTTTATACTATTAGAAAAAAGTAAAAAGTCGAGATTCGATGTTAATGCTTTATTCTACTGCAACAGAGGAAGGTGGAAGTCAATGCCTTTTCTTTTCTCTTTCCCTTCTCCCCTTCACTTTTCTTCCCCTTTCCCCTCCCCATTGTGTCCTACTATTTGCGTTCATATTTTTGTATTTTATTTTATAATTTAATAAAAATGTTACAAAGAAAAAAATGGACTGCTTTATTTGAGATACTTAAATGTCGTTAGAGAACAGAATGGGGAGCTGAGGATTGTTCAGAGTCTTCCTGTGGAGACTAAATAAATTAAAATAGTTGCCTTTCCCTTTTAGTCAGTTTGAGAAGTTTTTACCTCTGGTTTATATCTATATGCCTTTTATAATATGCAAAATGATTCTTAATTTTACATAACTAAATAAAGCTAGAAAATATTAAAAGGTGTACTGAATATGTTAGCAACTGAATGTACTAGAACTAAACAAATCTTGCGGCGGCTAGACTAAAAATTACAAGAATCAGAACAGTGTTATTTCAATACAAGAAACATATACTTTTCCCTAAAATGATGCAATACATTATTTGTCTCTTATTTTTCAATATATGTATGTCTTATAACGTTACCCACAAGTTAATGAGTAATATACTCTTCCACTAGCTTTGTTAAAAGTCACCCTAAATCAATGCCGAAAATGTAATGGAGATATTTGGTT